CTATCACTTTTGGTTGTATCGTTCTTAAGATATACGCCAAACAAAGAAGATATAGATATACTGAAAAAACCACAGATGCGCAGCCAACTTCCGATAAACTCAATATATATATATATATATATATATATATATATATATATATATATATATATATATATATATATATATATATATATATATATATCATGTTATCAAATTGGACATTTACCTTATATGAAATCATGGTTTGTTGTATCGATGTATACCGCTTGATATAAGTAGTAAATACCAGTCTGATACGCACACAAAATATCCTATACTAGATGATATCATTATATGACCCTGTATCGCCTGATATGGGATCTGTACTGATCGGTAATGTTCGAAATCCTATTTTTTTGCTTGGTATAGGTTAGCAATGATTAGATTTCTATTATTATTGATCAAGAGCAGATTACCCTATTTCAAATGGTCGAATTGATCGTTTGAATCATTGAAAAGGATTTTTAAATTCTTTTCTCCCCCCTCTTTCAACTTGTTTCACTCTCTCAATCTCTTCAACTCTTTCAAACTCTTTCTCGCTCACATTTTTCTCTCTCATTCTGACATTTTCATTCTCCTAAACTCAATAAAACTATAATTTATAGATTGAATCATTTTTTGGGGTTAATTTAGAAGGATTAAGAAGAAAAATACTCTAATTAAGATGTGTGTTTTCTTTTTAGATTGTTATTGATTTATGAGATGATTCAGCCTATTCTGTATGGTTAATGACTTAATGTCTAATATGTTTTGATATATTTTTTAATGCTAGAATAGTGTTAATTAAGAAATAATTAAGGCCTTTAATATTATGATTAGTGTATTTAATACTAATTTTTCTAAAATTAGACATTTTATGGGTCAAATCTTTATATTTTATACATATTAAGGTGATTTATATATTTGTATTGTATAATAAGTGTAATTATGTTTTAATTAAGATTTTAATATAGTGGTTAGTAGTTCTAATAATGATTTAATCAAAATTTGATTAATATTAGGTCAATTCAATATATTTAGTATCTAAGTGCTTGACATGTATACAATAGTGAAAAATGACTAATTAAAGATTAATTAATTATATTAATATTATGATTAGTGTATTTAATTATAATGATATCATATTTTGATTCAATTAAATGTCTTTAATGCTTATTAGAGTTTGACATGTTTATAATGATGAAAGAGTCCTAGGAGTAATTAACTATATTAATAGTATGATTAATGTATTTAATGATGATTTTATTATAATTTAATATAGGATTAGATACACATTTAATACCTTTTAGGATGTTTGACATATTTATAGTGGTAAAATAGAGCTAATTAGGATTTAATTAATTTTTTATTACTATAACTAGTGTATTTAATAAAAAATTTAATGATATTAAGTTAATTCTACATATTTAATGCCAAATAGGTTGATTAACATGTTTATAGCGACAAAATAGGGTTCACTACATATAATCGCACTTTGTTATTTAATTCAATTTTGATCGGAATGAGAGCTATCGTTATTAGTAATGTATTTATTATAACTACATTAGCAAGGGTGGAGGAATCACTCGGGTGAGGATGTATTTGGTCGACAAGTATCCCGATGTTACAAAATGCAAAAATGTTCCGACGGATGTTCGTAAATCCTTTTAAAATAAGTTATAACAAGGAAGGGACGATATAATGAAAAAGAAATGAGCTGCAGAAGAATACTGAAGGGTTATGTAGGAGCTTATTTATAATGAAAATAAGGGCTACGATAAAATCAACCCAGATCTCATAGTTGATATTCGTGCATCACTAGAATATCAGTGCAATATACAATGAAGCAATGAGACATTGATAACCTAACTCATAATGAGAGTGTGGTGATAACAATGGGCTTATGCCATAAGGAATCCAAAGGTCAACCAACATGAGACAACCAACTGTCCCTCCTCAATTAAGCCGAATTGGTAGTATGAGGTTAGATGGAATCTGTGGTTTTATGAGAGGACTTGGCAGTAGGTCAGTATGAGATATTATTAATATTGATCCACAAGTGTATCCTCCACAGATAGCAAAGCAAACACAGATTGACAATGCATATACAAAGGAAAGAAATATGATATTGGGAAGACAATTGTAAAATGATTCAACTTTCATAGGATTCTAACAAACACAACTCAAGGTCCATATTGTCAAAGCATGATCTCCTCTATTCAAAAGTCTAGCTTGGGGATCCAACCTCCAACACCGAAGATATATGATTTATATTTAGATGTGGAGATAGCAGAACTGAACGATTGGATCAAATCCTTAAAGAAACAGTGGGATAAATATGGGGTGACACTAATGTGTGATAGTTGGACAAGGCTAATAAAAATGAGTATCATTAATTTTATTTATTTATTATAATAGATTGGTGGTGGTTTTTCATACATCAATTAATGCTTCCAACAAGATTCCATATGCAAATTATATTAAAATCCTAATTGACACTATAGTTGAGAAGATCATAGCATAGTACATTTATTCATATAGTCATCGGCAATAGAGCTAATTTCAAGAAAGCCAATTTACAATTGATGAGAAAAAGGAAAACATTATTTTGGACTCAATGTGCGGCTCATGGATCTAATATTAAAGAATATTGGTAAGCTTTTGGTCAGCAAGTATGTAGCTTGAGCACATTCGATCATAAAGTTTATATATAATTATTATTGGGTCTACTCTTTAATGTAAAAATATATAAATGGTAAGATATTTAGACTTAGAGTCACTCAATTTGCTATAAATTTCATTACCTTAAAGTCAATATAACAAAAGAGACAGGACCTCAAAGCAATGGTCACCTCACAGGAATGGTCCAATTCTATGTATTTGAGATTGAGCAATGAAAAAAAAGATAGAAAAGACTATTTTTTCTTATAAATTTTGAGATACCATGAAAGAAATCATAACAGGAGTAGAATCACTTTATGTTGTCCTCCGTAAAGTCATTATGGACAAGCATCCCTAAATGTCTTATCTTAGACATATACTAATTATAGTAAGAAAGAAGGCCAAGAAAGCATGTAAAGATAATCTTATGACCGAGCAATACTTATAGATCATCGATCGTAGGACTAAAGTTCATACAAACCAAGATATCCATAATGTAAGTAAATTTATATTTAATATAATTTACTTCATAATTTTAATATTTAAAAAATTTTACTATTATTTATTTTTTAAATTACTAATGTAATTTAATTCATATTTTTTTTATATTTGTCTTGCAACGTGTTATTTAAATCTAACTATTCAATTTCGGTATAGTCTTGGAATGTGATCAGATTTATTGTTGACATTAAGAAATATTATATATAAACTCTTATTAACACTATTGATGCAGCGGATGCTATTATGGATGATCGGTTATTCTAAAAAACAATTGGTTCACTCCCTAATATTATAGTTGTATTGTGTTGTTATAATACGAATCCTAGTAAAAAGAAGTTACATGTTGATTATAAACTATATTGATATTAATTATTTATTATGTCAATAAAGTCCAATTATATAATTTTGTAGTTGAGTGGTGGCTACAACTTGGAGAAGAAGATGCGCCAAATTTAAAGAAGGTTATCGTTCGTATACTTTCGCAAACGACATCTAGTAATCACGTATGTAATTAGTCAATGTTTGCATTGATTCACATAAAGGTCCGCAATAAACTATCGTAAAGATAGTTGGAGAAATTAATACATGTCCACTATAACATGCGGCTAAGATTGTAGTGTGCCAAGTTAAACAAGGAGCTAGAGGAAACATAGATTGATCCCATCGATCTCTAACTCTACAATGAAAATTCAAAGTCGATATTAGAGTGGGTTGAACTAGTGGAGAACTAAGATTAAGATTATTGAACTCAAAAAGGTATTGGTCAAGTTTATACACAAAAAGGGAAGGGGAAAGAAGTAGATGATTTTGAGCAGATGCGATAAAGCCTACATGACGTAGACACAGAGTGAAGCTCATCATATTCATAACTATTGTATTATAGAGAATCTTACGAAAAATAGTAATATAGTAATGGTCATACTTCTCCGAGAAGTAAAATGATAATTGATCTTATGATATGTAGTAAAACAATGACGAAAGTAGAAGTTCCAATATTATTCTTCTTGCTCCACACCAATACATACCATAATCGTACTTACCTCATGAGTCACCTCGGACATGCATGATCCACAATGATCAGACTATGGCTATCACCACATTGATGCACTAATAGCATACAGTATATTAGTATACTATATCATGAGATCAATTTCAAGATTGGGTCTTACAAGAATATCAAATTGATATATAACTGCATAGGATTCAAGACCTTGATCCACCACTCATGAAATCTCATCGTTCTTTTTTTGTAACAAAACTAGATATATCCATAATTTAATTTCTTAATTCATTTAAATCTTAAAGTTTAAATTATTTTTTAAAAACTTAACGATTCAAATTATTTCTTTATAAATTATTCAATATTTATAAAAGAATGATCCGAAACATACCACAAAACTACTCAAAGATTAAAAAAGATATGTATCACTCTTCTTTCCTAATTTAGATTATTTTTACTAAAATTAAACTAAATTTATATTTATTTTTAACTTTAAAACTTTAATCTAATTTTTTTATTTATTTTTAATTTTAAAATATTTTTAAAATTATTTTTTATGATTTTTTAAATACCATCGATACATTCCAACATTCGATATATCAATATATCTCGATACATATTAAATCATGTCAAATCGTAGATACATGATTCATGTTAAATCAGGTCAAATCGTAGATACATATTAAATCATGTCAAATCACAGCCGTACTAACTTCAAGAATGAATTTAATATGCTCTGAGAGCTTGTATGACTTAATCTCAACGTCGTGCACAGGAAACAGAGACTGCAGCATCCGTATCATAGAAAATAGTGGCAATGTATAGAAAACCAGACACCAAAATCATTTATTGAACATACCAAAATATCCACCAATTAAACCACTGTCCTCGGCAGCTAAATGAACACACATGATACAGCTGCTATAAAACATCAAATATGAACATAGGCCTTGCTGAAAACTCAGTAGCGACGGCTGCTGGCCGTAGACAAAAGCACTCTATTTGGTTTCTTCCCTTTCTTTCCCTGTGCACTCGTCTGCTGCTCGGAGCTCTCAACATCACAGGCAGAAGATAATATTGTAGCAAATGACGATGTTGTCATCGGCCTAGGGGCTGTATTGAAACCAAAAGTAAAAAGATCATAAGCTATGCCTTAAAGAAATCTCATCCAGAAAATGCTTTTTGATATAACACAAAAGTAAAATATGGATGTTCCAGCAGTTTGATAAAATTAATAAACCAAAACCACTGTCACCAGAAGGGATGCACAAGTTTCAGCAGAGAACTAGATTTGAAGGGTGACAGTCACATTCGCTGTCTATAACAAATTTTATAAGGTTAAGATAAAGATCTTCAGCAGCAGTCATTAATTTTTTTTGGTTAAAGGCATAATTGACTGTTATTTTGTAAAAGGGCCTCTATATGGTCTGTGAACAATCACAAGGCCCCAACTTGATTAATTTGGCATATAAATTCAAACAAAGAGACCCCTAAGATTAATCACTGATGTTTTGAAGTTAGTTCAAACCAAGAGTTCCAATTTATAGTTTTGGATTCTCAAGAATTTTAAAGAGAGAAGTTTTGGCCAAAGCTGACATGATATTGACAGAGGTCAACCAGAGTGGTGACTTACCCTTGCAAGATTGCTTTGTGCTGATCAGTGTGGATCCTATATCTAAGAATATTAACAATGTGAGGCAACAAATCTAGATGGCCTTTGCAATGAAAAGGGTAGGGAAAGGGGATCACAAGTGTAAAACAAGGTACTAAATGCTGATGACCCTACCAAAATTTTGTCAGACCAAAAAATGTGGTATGCCTATGCAAGCTGACAAGAAAATACTAAAATGTTAGCAAAGGTGGAAAGCCTTCATCCCTGGGAATTAAACCTTGATTGGTTCATGTATGGCATCAACCTTATTTTCCTTATTTAATTTAATATATTTTCTATTCAACAACTACAAAATCCTTTAAAAAACTTCCTTGCATATCCATGTCTTTTTTTCCAACATTATATTTAATACTACGACTTTCAATTTAACCATAATAGTGATTTAAAAATCATTAGGTGTCAAGATCCAAAAATGTCCGAGGCACTAAGCGCTCACCTAGGTGCTCATCCGAGCGAAACGAAATGCTAAAATATAAAAATATATAATATAATTAATAAATATAATTATTTAAATAAAAATATGATATTAAATTAAGAAAATATCGTAAAATCACAATATCACATTAACAAAAAATCTCAAAATTCAAAACAATAACAATAATTTCAAATAAATAAAAATTAACAGTATTAAAATCAAAATAATATATTATTAATCTAATAAATAAAAATACTATTACTAGTATACAGTTAGCAATATACTATTAATATACTGTTAACAGTATACAAACGAAGTGAGAAGAGTGTGAGTAAGAGGAAGATCGAGGTTATTAACTAAGAGCAGTGGCAGCGGGAGCGGCGAGCAACGACAGTGGCAGCGACAGCTATAGCAACGAGCAACGACAACGAGAGCAGGAGCGGCGAGTGACGACAGTGGCAACGGTAGCAGCGACAGCGGGAGCAGCGAGCGACGACAGTGGCAGCGGGAGCGGCAAGCGACGAGCGACAACAGTGGCAGTAGTAGCGGCGAGCAACGACAGCGGGAGCGAGAGCAACGAGTAGGGTTAGGGTTGGGAAGTCGCGAGAGGAAGGCTGATATCAGTGCTTTAGTCGGTTCAATCGGAGCGGGAGCAACGAGCAGGGTTAGGGTTGGGAAGTCGCGAAAGGAGGCTAATATCGGTGCTTTAGTTGGTTCAATCCAGGGTTAGGGTTGGGAAGTCGCAAGAGGAAGGCTGATATCGGTGCTTTAGTCGGTTCAATCAAAGCGGGAGCAACGAGCAGGGTTAGGGTTGGGAAGTCGCAAAAGGAGGCTAATATCGGTGCTTTAGTTGGTTCGATTGAACCAACTAAAGCACCAGAGACCGAACCAGACCTAAAACGTTAGTTCAGTCGCTTGGTTTAACCCAAGCACTCGCCCGAAGGGCCCGGCGCTTGGGCTCGGGCGAGCCAGGCGGTGCCTCTTTGAAGTGCGCTGCCTGGAAATAAAGCGAGGCGCTCGGGCCTCGCCTCGCCCGAGCGCCTATTGAAATTATTGAACCATAATATATATCCTATCATTAAGGCCAATCTAAAGACGATTACTCTGTTATTTCAACTCTAGTTATATCAACTCAAGACAAGTGCCCGAGCGCCCGAGCGCCTATTGAAATCATTGAACCATAATATATATCCTATCATTAAGGCCAATCTAAAGACGATTACTCTGTTATTTCAACTCTAGTTATATTAACTCAAGACAAGTTCCCAAGCAGCAGAAGCAAATGAGACAAAATTTTGTTTGATTTATCTTCTGAATAATTTTAGTATTTTATGGAATTTTTACCATGCAATAATTTGTTACATAGCGACATCTTAATTATTTTGATTACAATTAATCACACAAGAAGAAAAGGTAAATGAGCTAGAATGAAAGAAATTAGGAAGTTACATTTAATTGAAGACACTTGACATGAAATAAAATAATCCCAACCAAATATCCTGTTGATAAGAAAGGGCATGCCTTTGAAAAAAAAATAAAGTGAATATTTTCTCATATAAGATTGACTAACATTAAGTGATGGAATATTGTTTCTTTAGATATATTTTTCCTTTTTTTTCTTGTATTTTTGGTATAATTTAAATAGGGAAAGAGTTGTATTAACTATTAAAAAATAAAACTGCAAGAGGTTCCCTCACATGAAACTCCCTGCAAAACCAACCTTGCCCTGAACTAAACCAGCATGTGTGGTCACACAAGGCAACATGGTTCTCCATGCCCACAAGCCTGACACATGTGACCCCTCTCTTGTAAAGTGAGATTTACCTCGTGCAGGAACCCCCACTGACCCAACCATGCCCTGACCTAACCTCATGCACATGACCTCCCCCCAAGGCACAAGCCAGACCTCACCTGAAAACACGCTTAACCCCTTGCCAACTTAGCCTTGCCTTGACCTAGCCAACGGTCAATTAAGCAATGTGATCTAGTTCCCCACACGTGTGGACTTGACATGCATGACTTCTTCCCCATAGCTCGAGCTTGACCTTGCATGGAGACCCACTTAAACCCTGACCTACCTATCTAGCCAAGTGTCTCCATATCCGTTGGGTCTTCCACAGCCGTCACTCACTCCCATCTGGTTTGTGTCTTCTGTTCTCTTCCACCTTAATAATTAAAAGAGCTCTTAGGAGTATTGGGCCAATGGGTGTTCGAATTTATATTATTTTATTATTAAGATATGGACTAAGTTAATAATCATTTTATTAATTGAGTACACTATAGATGGTTGGGATACATATGATTTGATGTTTTAGTGGTAGTTGCATATGTAATAATAATAGTCATGTTTTATTGAAGCATTTTTAGTAATAATCCTTAATACTTAATAATATTTTTATATCTTTGTAAGATAAGCATCTTGTTTTGCTTGGGCAAGCACCTAGTGGCTCGAGCAATTAGGCAACTTGGCGCCTTGTAGGGTCCAGCACTTTTGAAAATACTGGTTGAAATTTACAGTAGAAGTTCCTGATTTTGAAGGATGAAAAATTAGTTTGACTAGCATATGTCAAAAGAAGAATAGTGGTATGCAAGAAAGGTAAAGACCTTGGATAACTCTTTTGGAAACCACAAGAAATTGATGACTTTGACAAGAAATATATGGTCATCAGCAGAGATCAATGGCAGACCAAGTCGGGACTAAACTTCATTAAATTCACTTGAAATATTAAAGAAATAACCAACTAAGAAATCAATTCAAGTAAACCATACCATAAACATGAGAAGCTTCAGCCACATCACCTGATACATCAGCAGATTCTTCAGCTCTTAAAGAAGGTGAATCATGTGCAGCAGCAAAACCAAGCCGTGTTACATCAGAAAACAGTTTTCTCTCACCAGTGGGAGGACTGCTGGATGGTGCAATGTTGGCTCCTAATGCTTAAGAAGGAACAGAAAATAGTCAGCAAAAACTGCAGTTCCACAAAGGTTAATGAATGCCCTTAATGCAACTCACAGCAGTGATACTATCTATCAAAACAATATGCATTTCTAGTAATGATGATACTCATCGAACATCTTAAGATTGAAAAAATGAAAGGAAACACATTTTAACAGTTATCACAAAAGCAGAATTTATTAGATATGCTCTAAAATTCACATGTGAAAATGATTTCAATACTGGAGGCACAAAGATCATACCTTCAAAGTCATCTGATGAAAACACAACATCTTTGTGAGTTAATTGCCTCTGAGCAGATGATATCAGATTGAGCTGTGCAGATGCTGCTTCAGCCCTTGCTCTCTCATCATTTTCCTTGAGGGCAGAAGAAAAGGACTAAGATATTCAATATGCAACTTTCAACACTGAGACATTCATTTTTAAAGGTCAGACAACCATACTGGATCCAGACATTAGAAGCCTCCTAAATTTGTCAGCCACTTCTATCCATCAGCTATGGTGTTCAAAAAGATCATACTTCATGACAAATAAAAAAAATGTGAAATGACAACATAAACAGCACCATCTAACCCACGATACACCTTTCTTTAATTTGCACACAGATGGAGTTTTGCATTTTAAAATTGGATTGATGATGCAGACCAGTCAGTGAACATGTAAGTCTGACAGTCATGGCATATTTTAGGATTATTTCAAGAATGCCTTTAGCTGATCTGAAACATATATTCAGATATCAACAAGTTCAACCAACACCAATTGATCAATCAATTGCATGTTATTCATTAGGCCAGCCATAACATTATTCCCTCTTTAATCTTTCAGTAGCTTTATTACAGTATTGACCACATGGATGCACTCTCATCACTCTTCATCGGTACCATTGTTGCATGTTGTAAGATGCATTTGACTCCGAAAAGGTTGATCAATTATCACCATGTATTTGTTGACCATAAGATCCAAGGTAGTAGGAAGACTAAGAATGCAAGGGACTGCTATCCGGTTTGATATCATGTAGGCAACACCTCATATCCTCATATAGATCAACAACATTTTTCTTTCCTTTATCTTAGCAATCATAAATGAATTGCATGGTTACTCATGCTCCCTGATCCACATCTTAGGTGGTGTGACTTAAAAACTACTAGATACACGTTCCAACCATCTGTGTTTGAGTGGCAGGAATATGAGATTGGCAGTCAAGGCCACCATCATTAGTACGCTACATTCTGGTTCATGTCACTATTATCTTCATGGAGCTCACAAAGTATGGATTGTAAGGGAGACATCTTGTCACTCAATTTCCTTGAAGTCTTGAGTAAATTTGGAAGAGATTTGGTCTGAGTGTGGAGTGTGATTTCGATGAGAGGAGAAAAGAATGAGAATGAAGAAAGGAAAAAAGGTTTGTTCAGTCCTTTTTATGCTGTTAAAAAGACCACAACAGGGCTCTTTGACTAGGCTTACACTGGATGGGCTTTCCGCCTGGTACAATGATGGTAATGGGCCAAAACCAGGTAGTAAGACCTAAACTGCATGTGGATCAGGTTTACGCCAAAAATGGTAAATACCAACTGGTCCATATATGTCTGGGTGAGGAGAAACTTGCATCACTGGATATACCTCACATAGCGCAGCAAACAAACTGGGTTGAAATCAAAGAGTTGTACTTAGTAGAACCTTAAATAGATTAAAACATGAATCTCAACGAACTTCCCCATCTTGTTATGTTTTTAAGTGTATACAGTCATACCCTCACCGATACAACAAACAAGGTGGGTTGGGATCAAGAACTCTCTCAACACACATCACTCAAGTTGAAAACTTATTTGCAGCAAGGTTCACTGTACTACAGCATACTACTCGATACGGGCAGTACATACCAATTTGACAGGAAATCGATATGTGCGGTAAATACCGGTACATCAGCATGCCCCACCATATCATATGTACATCGGTACGGCTCGATACATACCATACCAATGGTCGATCGATACACCAGTATGGATCGGTAAGACGAACTTTGATCTGTAGCATGTGCATTTTAGATGCAAGCCCAACATACACATGTATTGTGATTCAAAATCAATATAACCTGCCAACTATGACATGCCTGGCATTTGTTGGAAATGCAGAAGAGTAACCATGATAGCAGTTGATGAGTGCACAAAATCATAAATGCAGGTCTCCAAACAACTTCTTCAAAACTCCAAAATGAGGGCACCATTAGATAAATATTTGCCTCGTGGAATAAAATGACAATATCAACCATTTCTGAGAGTTATCACTGACCAAGAAAATCCCACAAGATACTAATAGTTCATCTCATTAATAAATATATTGAACAAATATCAGCATTTTAAAAACCAACAAAACAAATGTCTACATCAATAACTTGGAAATTGCAATATTAATCAAGAACCTTAAGACTTTCAATTCCAACTGATAATATGTACCTTCCTTGCAAGGCGGTGCCTCTGCTTTTCACGCTTTTTCATTTCATCCAAGAATGGAGCTAAAGAGCTGGAAGGCAATAGATCTCTCAAATCAATTTCACAAAGCTGCATTCAGTGAAAAGTGAAAACTTGTATAAGTAATGCAAATCTCAATTTTCTGAAGCCTAACAAGTGACAGAAACTACCTGAAATGTTGTTGTTAAAGAGAAATGACTTAGGTAGCGGTAACGCCTTCTCATAGCTTCTGACTGAGTTACAGTTTCCAGCTCCAGAATTTCACCACTAATACTGCATTTAGATTGTTCCCAATATAAGTGATGATTAACATAATTGCAACAAGTAAAGTACTTAATCATGATATACATGACACAAAGATCATTTGCAGTACAAATCTCCAGACTTCCCTTATCCTCATAGTACTTCCAAGGCATTTCCAGTAAAATAAAAACCAAGATTCCAATCTAGACCTTAGAAAATAGCATATACCATATCCAACCTAATTGACATGTCGTGCTTATTCCCCGAGAGGATAGGCTATGACAGGCCCATGCGCATGCATTGGTTACTGAACCAGGTCGCACAGGATGCCCTTCAGCTCACATAAGTCCCAACCCTATGGTGCAAACCAAGCAAGGTTGACTCATGGTCGCACTAGCCAAGGATTGAGCCAGCACCTAGGCTGGCTCATGTGATCGCCCGTGATGCACAATACCCCAACTGAGATGCTTGCCTAAGCTGCAACCAGTTCAAGGCATCTCCCCGGAACCTTGCCAGAGCCACTAGGCAAGTGCCCGAGCATCCATCGACAACACTATTTCTAGATAAAAGATATTTGGCTACCAACAAAGACATTACCTGTTGATGACTCTTCATTGCCCATAGTTTTACACCAAAGAAGAGTTCCACCCATTAATTTGTTTCTATCTTATTTGACCCTAAATTGACATTAGAAGACACCCATTGTTCCCAATGATTGAACACATTTTTCACCTCTTTTACATAGACTAGAACTTAATTTAGCAGCTCTTTCTAACAGTTGTCCATGCAATCATCAGAGCAAAAAACAATATTTTATGTAGAACTGCAGTATGGGCTGTCACAAAGAAAAATGTAACAGAAATCATTTTTGTCTGCCATCAACATGGAAACACATGCATCTAAACACCTACACTATTGTAGTTGTATGCAAACAAAGTTTTCCTTTTATGAACCCTAATGGCAATAATCATGGATGTGATAAAAACAACACTAGCAGGCAAGACTTCAAATATTGGCAACATAGGAGAATTCTATGTATTTCTGGAATGTGCTGACCGAAGCGGTCCAAAAAAGGGGCCAGAATATGGTATAAATTAGCTGAGACTAAAATGGTTTGGTTTGGCATAAAACTCCTTGTGTGTAGAACTGTAACTAAATTAAAAGAATCAGCAAGTCTCCCCGTAATTATATAAAACATGGTTATCAAGCATAATTAAATTAAACATCAGAGGTTATAAGTTGATCTTAACTACATCTGGATAGAGTCCCTAAAGCTAAAACTAAGGCCAAGTGGTAAAAAAAATATTTTGTGGAACAGATATGCTACAGACGACAAAGATTTCAACAGAAAAGGAGGAATCAACAAACAAAAATCAAGTATATCATGCTTGATCAACCAGAAAGAAGATGAAATAAGATATGCCAATAAATGATAACAACCAAATATTTTCTCCTAAATTCCAAAAAAAGGAAACCCTTTCTTCTAGCCAATCAAAACCTAGTTGGAATATCTGATCCCTTTATGAGTATTTAATGACTGGTTGCAATTTCAATCAGCACTATTCAACAAAACACCAAATGTTCTCTATATTATCCTGTTTGCTTTAATCCTATACATAAAATCTAACACAGTTCAAGTGGTCTCCAGAAACTTGTATTATCTTTACTTATACAAATTCCAATGACTGTCTTGTATCATTAACCCTTTTGATTTCAAATTAACGGAAAAATTAGGGACTTAAAGGTCATCAACAAAGTTTGCGTTCGAAATTGCTGCTACGAGTTCAAGAAGACAGATCATAATTAAGGTGTACAAAATTTTGAACCATGAGTGATCAGAAAAGGAATTGTTTAAACTATGAAACAAACATACTAATTACAGCCACAAAAGAAAAGGTTAAGAAAAATAAAGTCAACGAAAAAAAGAACATAAAGTTACTAAAACAACCACAACAAGTGGAATTGTTACATCTGCATTTGTCTAAAACAAGAAGTTCAAGCACCTTGGTGGAAGCAAATCATAGCTCCCATAGTGATGAAGGAGACACTTCATGTTCAATGGATGAAGAATAAGATGTTGACCATCAGTTGCCTGTGCAGATAAAATGGCATTCAAGCATATCCAAATTTTATATATTCATATATATAACAAGTCATATAGAAAAAAATGCGAATGTAGTTTTGCTCCCACAGAAATATGACTTAAGTAAAAAGGTTTATGGGTAATTATTTAGATATTTCAAAATTCAAGAAAAATCATATACTACCTGGTAAAAAGTGTATGAATCCCTTTCGGTTCCACCACTGCAACTATGTGAATTTCGCTGTGAAGTCATTTCTTCTTGCTGGAAGCTCTCATCTTCATTGTGTGACAATGGGACTTCGTTGGAGTTCTCTAGCTGTTCAGAATTAGCAGCAAGTGGTAATAGAGTGCTATCAGCAAATGCATATGATTCGGCATTTCCAGTGGAAGAGCCAGTTTTCTCATGATCTGGTATATAACACACCATTCCAATTCCAGATTCATATGCATATGATTCGGCATTTCCAAGATTTGAAGTCAAATTTAGTGCATGAGAATTCCTATTTTTAGAACTAAGAGAAGTCTTGGAATTCACGGAAGGAGTGACATGGTCCCGTAGAGGAATGGTGCTGTCAGTTTGTTGCTCCATCCAGGCCTTCATCCTCTCCTCCAGCTGTTCCAATGCAGCACAAACATATGGAAGCTTCTCCAGATCATCAACAAGACCAGAATCTGCTTTATGTAGCCAATCATAGAGATCAGATTTAGCTTCCCTCACAGATAATTCCACATCAGAAGTCAGAACAAACTTAGAAAACAAGTCACAAAGGCCATCTGTAGTGCATGGTGTAGAACTTTCAACTTGTTTCTTTTTCAGCACAGGAAATACTGAGACTTTGGGTCTGGTTAAAAGTGTAAAATGTGCATGATCACCAACACCGAACTGCTTAACATTCTCAATAAGGACTGTATACAAATCTTTAGTAGATATCACTGTAAAACAAAGGGGACATTTTTTCCAGCATTCACCTTTGTGATTTTCCTCTCCCATGAGCATGTATCGTAGTATACAAGGAAAACAGTATATATGTCCACATGATGTTATTTGTGGACAAAGTGGAGTGTCCAAACAAATTGGGCATTGCACTAGCAAAGGGGTTGAGTATCTAACACAGATCACTTCTTCCCAATGTAGCATTTTATCTGGATCCATAGATTTGATTTCACAGCCTCCTCTATCTAAAACCACAAATTTGTAATTTGCCTGTAGGAACAAATCTTTATTGTAAGGTTTTATCTTCTGCTGCCTTCTTGGAGGAATTCTGGGTTCAGAACGGGAAATTGGATCATAATAGAAATTAAGCAGATGATTAGCATTGATAACATTGTTTCTTCTTGTAGCCGACTGACCAGCATTCCCATGTAGACCACTAGGTCTTGTAGCTAAATTTCCAGAATGCACAAATTTTGCATTTGCTGGTGGTCTCTCATTGCCTTGAGAAGGTCCAAACTGATTGGACCTAAATTGAGAAGCTGCCTCTTCTCTGCCTAACTGGCATTCATAAGCAGTGCCACTTTTTTTACAACATGAGACTTTCTTAGTACCACTGACTCTGGACCCAATCACCTGCAAAGAAGAATATAAATATATTTTCAGATGAGGCACAAGGCAGAACCACTTCAGAAAACTGAACCTCAACAGAGAAGACCACTAAATATTCACAAGCACCAAATTCAGAAACTTCTCAGGTGCTAGAAGAAGCATCCAGTTACCAATAAATCATCAATTAGTTACATTAGACTATTAAATAGTTTTCACTAGTTTGTAATCAATTGTCCATTGGAAAGATTCACAGAACTCCTTATGTCATGTTTTTACCATCCTCTATATCCATTCTGTTTGCAGAATTTACCAATTTCAATACATATTATTTGTAGTAAGCCTCCATCCCTTGGGAATCAACAGTTGTTAGAGACTTAAGTGAGAGAGAAATGAATATCTCGCCTTGCCAATCAATGTTGTCAATGTCACTCATATTTTTTTTTGGGAAGGGGTGAAGAATTCAGAGTGGAAAATTGACCCTTTTACCTGATGGACCCACTTTTCCATTGGGTAACTCACATCAAAAGGCAGGATTTCACTCTAACATTAAGTCTTCCATTACAATCTATGGTCTTCAAACGAAAAGGATCTTTCTTGAATGCATAGACACCTAAAAATGTGGTCTCTGGACCTGTGTTGATGACGTGATGGACTCTCTAAGTAGAAGAATCATGATTATACTTTGCATTGTCCAGATCGCAAGACAGAAAAAAAGATATTTGGTAAAACCGTGAAGAAATTGGTTCCCCCACAACTGTGGTAGATGCTTTTCTCATATATTTTCAGGAGCCTAATAAAGATGAAGCGAAATTATTTATGCAACAATTTCAGTCATTTGAATTGTTGTATTGGAGTAAGCTGTTCAAAATCAACAACATCTTCTTCTTGTAAATTTAATTTGTATAGAGTTATTCTCTTTGCTTCTTGTGTAACTTCTGAAGTAGCAGTTCTCAGAGGAATTACTTCAGTGGATATTAATAATTTAGATCCTAATTTTTCATTAGCATTTTCATTTGCACAATATCCCATAATACAGCATGTAATGGCTTCCATAATATGTTCTTCTCTTATAACAAAACATGAAGTTGTTAATTTGTTAATTTAGTATGAGACCAACTGACTACTATAACTTATGTCATTGAATAACTAAAATACAAGAGTACAAGCAATTGGAGTGTGATCACATCTGCTAGAATGGATTAGTAAATGTAAATGGAGGTTATATATGACACCATTCTAAGACGAAAAAGGATGTAGGAGATATTTCCTCACCTTCCTTGTTGAATTGTAAGAATTTCCACCTGCAGGAGCTGCTGATTCTGCAAAATATAAATTGCGACACATAACTCAAGTCTGTGGAAGGAAGCATCAAAATAGAAGCTCATATCAATTGTGCAAAACACAATTTGCAAAATCATATATAGCAAAGACAGTTCATTTCACAAATATGGCCAAAGAAATGTCACACGAAACTATGAGAAATTTCTTCCACAAGAAGATTCATCTATTTAATATTCTCTCTTCCCAGTAACAGCTAGCACCAATAGAACATTAATCATGTCATCAGTCTTTCTAGCGCACTGCACGCAATGCATGTCTCGCTCAGTTCAGTGCAGCATTATGTTTCTTGAATGTGCTAAGATGGTCAGCTGTCGAAGCACATGACAGTGTAAACAACCCGTATGTTGCTAAATAAAAAAATTCACTACCCATGATCTTCTCAAGTAGACAATAGTAGCGCTTTCTAAAGAAGGAAGTGTAGCAAGCGGCCACTCTGTTTAGGATTTGGAAAGTTATAATGTCAGGGAGTAATGACTATCTGCACCAATTTGACATCAAATTATTCTTACCACCGAGCAAAGTAGTACTTTCGACAACAAAGAGAACAGGAAAATACACATTCTGAAATCCTCGATAACAATAGAACAACCAATTGATCGAACAACAAAAGACAAACAACTCATATTCATGACCTTCTTGTTCGTATCGCTTTAAGCTACCAAGAACCAGTCAAATCCAGCAGTAAAGATACACACCGTTGAGGCAACTCAACAATCAGAAAGAGAAAAATTTTAATCTAAAACTAACGTAGAATTCAAGATCATCTAGAAACCCCCAATTTTGCGGAAACACATCAACAAACCCTAGAATCCAGAGTTGACGTCGCCAGGCGTCAAAACTTATCAAATCGAGCAAGAACTCACCTGAAGCATTTGCTGGAGCAAGGACATGGGACCCCGAGGTGGAGGCCGGCGCAGATCCAGCGGGGCCGAGGCCACCGGAGGGGAGGCTCTCGACGCAAGCGTCGAGAGGGCGGCGAGGGTCCGGTGGAGAGCCATGGTGAAGACGAGGGTTGGGAGACGATCGAGCCGGATGGGAAATTGCGGACCTTTGGGCGTCGGTGGGGTTGATGGACATGAAACGCCTGCGCTGAAACGGGGAAGGATGCTGAGGGCAATCGCGCAGAGACCGTCGCGGGTGGGAGTCGGGTATTAATAGAACTTTTGGTAACTCTACCCCTGGCCGGGTCGAGAATATGCCAAGGCCTTCCTGTGTGCTCGTGAAAAGACTAAAACGCCCTTAGTCTGTGGCGTCTATTTACAGGTTGCACGTGATGCTCGGGTACGTGTCCAGAGAATCGTACTGTAGGGATTGGTATTAGTAGGCGTAGTCGAGCCGGTTGTAATTATGGTTCTCAGAATCAAACGATCGGATGGATCAACTGATTAAATTATATATTTTTTAAAAATTTTAATATTTCTTAAAATTATATAAAAATAATTTTAAATTATATACAGTTTTTAAAATTTTAAAAATAAAATGAAAAACATAATTTTGATCATATAAAAAAAATTAAAGGTATAGAAGGTGGAGTAAAACATAAGAGGAGGTGTGAAGAGGGGGGAGATGAGAAGGCATAATAAAGGAGGGACAAAAGAGATAATATGAGACTAGCGTTCGGGTAATTTAGACATAAACATCGTTTAGAACAAATACTAAGAAAGAATTTATGCGAAGAGCATTTAAGTAATATTGATTATTTTACAATACTGATTATTTTACAAAATCGACCTAATTTTATGTGACCCGAATGATTCATGCGAATCAAATATATAATTCGTTGGGTCAATCGCTAAAAATTCAAGTATATCAAACTGTTCGATGATCTATTTCTCACTTTTTTTTTATTTTTTTGGTCCGATCATTTGATCTGATTTTGATAAATATGAATTCAGTGATTTTTATTTATTTTGATAAATAAATAAAAATTAAAAAAAAAATTATTGAGGAAGAGAAGACTTTGATCCCCAAACAGAGATTCTTTTAAACAATGATACAGTATAAAGTACAAGATTTATGTGGTTTAATCTTTCTTATATCAAATTCTTATTCATGTGAAATCAAATTACAAGATTTATATGGGGTTTAATCTTTCTTATATCAAATTCTTATTCATGTGAAATCAAATTACAAGATTTATATGGGGTTTAATCTTTCTTATATCAAATTCTTATTCATGTGAAATCAAATTACAAGTACCTTGAAACACAAAATCTCTGGTACATATTCTCACATAAAATTCAGAAGAAAAATAAAATCATGTTTTTCATCACATCTTTTAGATCTAGTAGAGTAAAAACCCAAAAATACTCTTCCCCGCCAACGCATGAACATATATGGTTATTCATAAGATAATCATATCTTAACTTTAATGATTTATTTCTTTAAAAAAAATATTCTTTTTACTTGGATTCTTTATCAATCTAAAAATATTTATCAAACACGATAATTTTAGTATAAACTAAACTATCAATAAAAAATATTTGCAATCTGAATTCTCTATAAGATTTGCAATACAATGTTCGTAAGTGTGTTTAACGACACATAATCTCTCGAGCAATTTGTTTCCTTTTCTCCGAAATAACGAAGGCGATGGCTAATAGTGAGTTTCCAGTACCGAGGAAGTTCCACAAGCCCAACCAAATGCTCCAATGGTGTAAAGGATGCTACAGAGTTGGCAACTTCTGATGGGAAATGAAGAAGGAGCTTCAATTCCCAATTCTACATTGAGAAAGTTGAATACTCAGCTACGGCAACAAGAAGGGCGGTTTAGTTGACCGTGAGAAAGCCAGAGTCACAAACTTGGGCCAAGAATCGAAAGCTCTTCATGGACAAAGATGAGGGAGTGAAGATCGAAAAAGAAAGCCCAACTCCAACGTGGAGTTCATCCATTGGGGCCCTTTTATTTCATCCTTGTATTATTCCAAAAATAATAATAAAAAGTCTCCGATTATACATTATCTATGGAGACTATTGTTCTTACAAGGGTTCATCTTATTTGGTAGAGAGCTGATACGATTTATATTTTATTTTTTATTTCAAAGTATATTTACAAGGTAACTAGAGTTATAATCAATGTCAGAAAACATAAATATCGACTCCTATGATTTTAGACCCTTATTTAGATCTAAATTGAATGCAAGAATGAAAGACTATAAATAAAATAAAATTTATAGATACCTAATCTAGCTTTTCCCTATGCATTTATTCTTTTTTGTTCCATTTTTTCCCAAAGTGAAAAATAGAATAACAACAAGAGACCAAAAATATTTAAAAAAAACAAAAAAAATCATTACATAGATTAATGAGATCCACTAATAATAATGTCTTTGGCAAAACGAATATTGTTTTTGTCTGCTCAAAAGAATAGTCTGATGAATCATTTATGGCTGACATGATGGGTCAAATATAACGATTTCAGAATAATGCATGCATAGACCTTTGGAAAATTATATTATTTTTTGGTCAATCAAAAATTTAATACATCAAGTGTAGTCAAAATTTATTGAAAATATCATGGGGACTTCCGATGAATGATAAGAGTTTAATGTGCCTTATATATTAGCAAAATATTAAAAGAAAATCATTTGTATTATAAAATTGACACATAAGGTAGTCTACTATGTTTTTATTTTGAACTTCAACAACTCTTTAAACTACATATAAGGATTTTTTTTCGGTAAGAAACTAATCAAAATTAACTTGATTATTGAGACATATTTCAAAAGCACCCCTAATAGTCTTACAAATATTTTTTTATTATTAATCTAAAGTAAAATCTAAGATATAAATATTATTTATCCTCGAGTTATGAGTCCTACAACATATCATCTTAAGCATAATAACACCTGAAAGCCTAAATAAATCAAATTATTTTCATAACATTGGATTGATGACCAAACTTGATCTTATAAATTTGGTATAAGGAGGATATGAACCTTGACTTGATTACTAACAATCCAACCTCCTTTCATCAGCCTCGCACTCAGAGCATAAAATATCATTGTTGAGTCTGCACTTGGCTACTCGATCTTTTATCGATCTCTTAATATTGGTCAGCCCAAACCCTAGTCTAGATATTGTTTAAGCCTCAGCTCAAGCTATATATACTATTCTAATATATAGTATTTTTGTCTATCATAATTTAAATCTAGATACTATTAAGAAGAGAGCCTCGTTACTTGTGTCAAGTTCTCATTAGTAACAAAATCAACAACACAAATGTAAATAAAGTCTATTTATATTTATTCTTTTTTCATATGATGCATCTATCTAAGATAAATATATATATATATATATATATATATATATATATATATATTTGATATGATCAAACTATCCTTATTGCTAGTGGCCCATCAATTCAAGATGAGAAAACATTAAAAATATCCTCTTTGCATATGATGCATTTGTTCAAGATAAAAAAATATGTACAAGACATGACTAAGATATATCCTTTTATGTGAAGGCATCTTCCCAAGATTAAAAAAAAAATAAAATATCTTATATGATCAAAACATCCGTTTTGTGCATAATGTTATCCGCTTGAACAAGAGACATCTAAAATTCTTGAGGTGATGTGTTATGCGTTGACAAAAATAAAATACAAAAGAGAACGAAATGCATTGAGTTGAAACAATGAAATATTCCCTATTTATACAAGTTAGAAGAGAGAATTTTCCTCAAGGAGGATTTTTCTCAATAGATTTATGACATCTCTTCAACAGAGTTGGGGAGATCTCGGCTATTGTTGAGGTTGCTATCATGGGAAATTTTAAATGTTATCATGCCCCTGCAAGATAGTGCTTCTGTCAAGAACACCGATCTTAGACCGATGTGATGAAAGCGAGTTATGGGTGAGAGGCTTTGTGAGAGAGTCCATTAGTTGATCAGTCGTATGTACGTGAGAAACATGTAGTTGATGTATGACAACTTGTTCTCGCACGAAGTGAAAGTCGATGGCTATGTGTTTCATCTGTGAGTGGAATACTGGATTAACACATAGATAAGTGGCTCCGACATTATCACAATATATTATAGGAGTAGAGGTGATGTTGATGCTAAGTTCCTTGAGGAGATTCATGACCCAATTGAGTTCTGCAGCAGCGGTGGCTATGGCACGGTATTTAGCTTCAGTCGTAGAACGTGTAACTATCTTTTGTTTCTTAGAACTCTAACTGATTGGATTAGATCCAAGGAAGAGAATATACCCCGATGTGAATGTTCTATCATCAAAATTCCCTGCCCAATCAGCATCGGTAAAGGCGTGGAGATTAAGGGGGGAGTGTTTACGGAAAAAGAGGCCATGTTTAATAGTCCCGTGAAGATACCGCAAGATTCGTTTGAATGCAGACCAATACATAGTAGATGGTCGATGCATGAACTGAGATAGTTTATTGACCGCAAATGAGATATCTAGACGGGTGAGAGATAAGTACTTAAGGAGCCAAGGACTTGACGATATTAGTTGGGTCTGTAGTAGGGCTTCCATCACAAAGTTTGTGCGACACGCTAGTAGACAAAGGTGTTGTAACTGCCTTTGTATCTTGCATATTCGTTTTAGATAATAGATCTTGAATATACTTTCGTTGTGATAGGAAGAGCTTGGAAGATGTGTATGTTGCTTCCACTCCCAAAAAATAGCTCAAGGGTCCTAGATCTTTCAAGGAGAATCGATCTGCTAAATACTTAAGGAATGCCTTGATTTCTATAGGATTGTTACCTGTGACAATAATATCATCCACATATATTAGAAGATATATTATATTGCCACTTTGGTGACGGAGAAATAAGGAGGTATCAGACTTAGAGTTGATGAAACCAGTTGATGTTAAAAACAAGCTAAGTTCGGTGTACCAAGCTCTTGGAGCCTAACGAAGTACATAAATAACTTTTTGTAGTTTACAAACATGCTTTGGATATTGAGGGTGGATGAAGCCAGGAGGCTGTTGTATGAAGACATCATCAGTTAGGGTCCCCGGTAGAAAGGCATTGTTAACGTCGAGTTGATGTAAATGTCAGCCTTGTGAGATGGCCAAACTTAGAATAAGTCGGATTATTGTGGGTTTAACAACAGGGCTGAATGCCTCTGTGAAGTCAATACCAGGTCGTTGATGAAACCCTTTGGCCACTAGATGTGCTTTAT